AACTACCCTGAGACACAAATTTAAAATCTGATGTAAAATATTTCGGGGAGCCTGATTTCAAAATTAAAAAGACTAATGACAAAATTTTGATGGATCTTTGATAATTTAGTTTCAAGATGTTTGCCTCAAGGTAGTATGGTGTGATATGCTCCATACGTCGCAGACCATAGACAAATCTCAAAGCGTAATTCTGAGACCGCTGGAGCATATCCGCCTGAATCACAGTCATGTCGTTGATCAATGAGTTGCAGTAACTGAAGTGGGGCAGTACAAGTGATTTGATCAAATGAAGTTTTGTGTGTTGTGGCAAAAAGTTCTGCAATCTTTTCAGTGAATGTATGGAGGCAAAAACCTTTTTTCGTGTGTCCGTAACTGCTGTGTCCCAAGTAAGTGAAGAGTTGAAAGATATGCCAAGATTCTTTACATTGTCAAAGTAGGGCAGTGCTTTGCCACCGACTGTGATTGGATTTATTGAGTCTAAGTCAATTGAAGGGCGAAGTCGAGGGTGGCAGATTACAATCGGTTTTGTCTTTTCGTGATTTAGTCTCAGTCCATGATTCTCAGTCCAAGTAACTATTCGGTTAACGTCTTCATTGATCCTTCTGACACAGTCATTTTCGTTGTTTGCAGTAAAATAGTCATAGATTTGTAAGTCGTCAGCGTACATGTGGTGTTTACAGTTGGTCAAGGTCGAGTTTATGTCGTTGACGTACAGTACAAAGAGCAGTGGTCCAAGGATTGATCCTTGGGGCACACCGCATGTAACAGTCATCCAGTCTGATCTTGTGTCACCAACCTCCACACATTGCTGCCTATCTGACAGATAAGATCTCAGCCATTTAAGAGAATTCTGGGAAAACCCTATTGCCCTTAATTTCTGCACCAGCAAGTCATGATTAACACAGTCAAATGCTTTGGAAAAATCAAACAGAGTTAGAATCGTTCCCTGTCGACGCTCCATAGCAAGTCTAATGTCTTCAGTCACTCGAAGGAGTGCTGTTTCTGTACTGTGCGCTGATCTGAAACCAGATTGATAGTCAGATAGAATGTTATTTTCAGTGATGAATTCAGTGATTTGACAGTGAACGATCCTTTCTAGGCCTTTAGATAGAGCGGGCAAAATACTTATCGGCCTGAAATCCCCAACTAGAGTTGGTGCTGAGATCTTTTTTAGGGGACGGACAATGGCAGACTTCCAAAATGAAGGGAAAGAACAGTGCCTCAAAGATGCATTAAAAATGAACGTGATAGTAGGAAGGATTGCGTAGAGGATGTCTTTGATAAAGCGGATAGGTATCCCATCAGAACCGACAGCATTGCTTCGGATTCTGCGAATAGCCATCAAAACATCAGACTGAATAACTGGTTTGAAATTAAACTCGGGATATCCCAGGTGCGGGGTTGGAGAGCTGACTAATTCATTCAAGTAACTATTGACTTTGTGCTGATTGGTATTTTGACTGCTAGAAGAAAAGTAAACGTTTAACTCATTTAGAGGGATGTGTACTGGTTGAGAATCAAATTGTTTCCCAAGCCCAAGACTTTTAACTTTACGCCATAAAACTCTCGATGGCTGTTTTTGATTTTCAAAAAGTGCATGAATGTATCTGAGTTTGGAATTTCGCAAAAGCTGTTTAACTCGATTACGAAGATTACAATATTGTTGTTTTAGTTCGATACTGTTGGAGTGCCTAGCTCTTCTACCTAAGCTATCACGTTTAGCCATCAAACCTTTGATTTCAGGGGTCATCCATGGAACAGGCCTTCTTTTTGTCACGCGCTTTGTTAAGACGGGAGCATGTTTGTCAAAGAGATTTAATATGGAAGAATTTAACTCATGAACCATTTCATCGACGGAATTTAAATTTTGAATGAAGTGCCACGGAGTTTGTTGAACGTCTAACATGAATTGTGCAACATTCATATTTTTAAAATCCCGATATTTAATAAGCTTTGCTTTGGGCTTAGGAGATTTGATTGAGTACACACAGAAAATAAGGTCATGTTTGGATATTGAAGGGACTGGAAGCTGCCCATGGTGAATGATATCTTGATGATTGGACACTACGATTAGATCCAAGAGGGTATCAGAATTGGCAACATGATGTGTGGGATCGAGTGGAAGTACAGTTAGGTTACATGATTCAAACAAAGTAGTCAGCTGTCTGTGTTCAAAGTTATGAGTCGATGATAGTAAGTCAGTGTTGAAATCACCCATGATCAAAACATGACTGTATCTGAACATTTCATTAAGCAAGGCATTTTCAAAATTGAGCAGATGCCCTGATCTTGGTGGGCGGTAGCACACTCCTAGTAACAGCGCATCTGCTCCAGATAAACTAATCTCAATTAATAGGAATTCTGGCCCAGCCGAGTACTCCGATGGTGAAGAAAAAATAGTTTTGAACTTTAAATCCTCCCTGATATACACCGCAACGCCACCGCCCTGTTTACCAATCCTATCATTTCGCTGCAGCACATTTCCAGGGAGAGACACCTCATTTGAATGAATACTCGGCTTAAGCCAGGATTCAGAAATGCTAATCAAGTCAAAGTTTCCAGGATAAAAGATTTCTCTAACCTCATCAATGTGAGCACGCAAAGACTGGGCATTGATGTGCGCCGCTTTCAGGTGTTTAGGATATGGAGATAAGGAGCGAGAGAGACAATCAGCGGTGGACAATGTAGGGTGTAGGATGGGGGAGGGGGGAGAGATAAGCGGGTCGCTGTGGCGAGCACTATGCGGCTGTGGACTCGCTATCCCGGGTCCACAGGTCGCGACGTCACGACAGGCGCCCCCAAAACCACTGCACAAGGCGCGATCACTGATACACACTCACACACACACACACACATACATACATACTGAAATTAAAGAAAATCCCTGTACAAAACAAAACAACACGCTTGTGTGGCTCCGCTAAAAAATAAACAGAAAAATATGACTTTGTGCAAAAAATAATAGAATATACAGACTCAAAACTAAATAACAGATAATTCAAAAATGAAATTTAACTATACTTTGAATTCAATTTCCATATAAATCTAATATTCTCCAGTATAAGCACTAAATATGTATATAGTGTATATATTTTTAATTACTATTAAATGCATTTCCGTTTTTCTATAAGTTTATGGGAAATACATTATTGATGGATACTTTAACCGTGCAAAATAATATCCTCATCACTAAAATAATAAATATAAATAAATTAGCAATAAATTACGAATATAAACCAAACATTGACTTTTAAACTTTAGTTCATTTAACATAACAAATAAACTACATAGTACTAAATATTGTCAGACTCAGAATATTAAAAAAAGGAATAAAATATATATATACATTCATACCCATGTTTCAGTTAAACAAAAATCATGCAATTTCTACGGTGATTAAGGTATCCAATAATTAATTGTGTAAAATATTCTTGCATTTGAACATTGAGATAAAGTGATTGTACCTATACATTTAAAAATTACGGGAAAAATAATAATGATAAAAATATATTAGTGATTACATATAAATAGCTGTGGGAAAAAATAGGCATGACAAAAAATAAATGGTTTAAAAGAAAAATACTGGCAAATAAATCAAAATAAAACCTTAACTGTCACTTGAAGTAGAGTTTTGGACCACAGCTGGTAGATCGGCCAGACGTGTCGCCACCTTCTTCTCCCCGCTCTTGTCGACCCAGAGCACTCTGCCATCCTGGGTCCAGACGTTTCCCACGCCGAACCGTGCCACCGCCTGCTTATACACCTGCTGACGAACTTGTGTCAGGTCTTCCTTTATTGTGACGCCGGTCCCCTTTAGCCGCTTCTTCACGTCGAAGACAGTCCGCCGGGCCCTGTAGGTGCTGAACCGGACGATGATGGGCCGGTGCCGCTCCCTGCCGTCAGTTCCCGGCTCCTGTAGCTTGCCGACTCTGTGGGAACGGGAGATGGCGTCTTTTGAAAGCTCTACTCCAAGCTTGTCACGGCAAATCTTAACCACTAGGTTGTCAGTGCTCTCATCCTTCGTCTCCTTGACGCCAAATATTCGAATATTTTCCCTCCGCTGATACTGTTCCAGCTCATCTGTTCTTTCTGCCAGTCTGTTGTTTACTTCATCAATCTTCTTCTGTAGGCTCGTCACGTCGTCCTGTAGCTTGCAAATTTCTTGGTTGAACGAAGCCAAAGCTGCCTTAACGGCTGTCTTCACCGCCCTCTGCACGACCGCCTCAACCGCAGCAAGCAAGGCCGGGTCGATGTTGTCATTGTTGGAGGTAGTCTGCTTAGGCATTGTTGTGACAGACGAGGGCGGGCTGGCGCTGGTGGTTGGAGACGGTGCTGATAAGGAGCGTTGGACGTTCCGCTTCTCCACGGCAGATAGCAGCACTGACTTGCCCTTATGTCCTGACCGCAGGTTCGGAGGTGACCGAATCATGAAAGTCTTAAGTTAGGTTAAGTTCGTATATTGTGCTTTAAAACGCTAATAAAACACGTTATTCACAGTACTCACTATTAAATAGTTAGCGGCACTTTAAAAAAGTATAGTTGTTATAAAAAGTCAATAGTCACTCACGTAATAACTAAAATGTCGTCAAATATAGCGGAGCTGAAACGAACGCGTGTTCTACTCTGACAAGTTCATCCCCTCTCTCCCAAATCACAACATCAACAATAAGAAGGCTCATCTAGTTACTGACCTTAGTGACCCCGTCATCAGCCGCTGCCGACATGCCATGTCATCACTGCCTGTGTCGAACTATAGAGAGTGTCTAACAATCAAGGTTCTACCGTAGTATTTGTTTGATATTGATAATTGTGTAACATAAACTTATTTCATTGGAAGTAGAAAAATATATAAGTATTTAATATCCAATCAGTTTACATAGGCTAGTGCTAAGTAATCATCATAGCTAATAAGTCTGTTAGAACTGTTTCAGTTTACTCATTTGTTAGGTCTGTGATAATTGTTGCACTTTACTTTGCTAATTCTATGATAAATATTTCAGCTATTTGGTGAGACCGAGCCCGTTCTCCGCTCAGAAAACATTCGAGAGACACAACAGCAGACGCAAGTCCAACATCAGCTTTTGCTCTCAAGCTATCAACCTGCCAGGCTCTAGACGGGGCTCAGGCATCATCTTCCCTCCACCACGGGCCCCACCACTAGTTACTACCAAGGCTAACTCACTGTCACTTCCAGACAGGTAGAGCAGCAGACAGATTTACCAAACTATTTATAAACAACTGAAAATTTAATATAACATTTTTTTTATTTGTATTTTTACACTATTAGCATTTTTTAATTTTTTTTTACATAGTCTGAGGGATTGGTCCAAACCTTGGTCTAGTCCACGTTTTGATAGATAGAATCATTAGTTGACAGCCCAATTACAAGTAACATCAGGATTCATAAACATCATAATGACAATCTTAGTTGGAATGTTGTAATCAAACCAGCAACCTGAGGATTTTGAAGGTGAGCACTGTAACCACTCGGCTACCCAGACAAGTTAGGGTTGGCTTAGTCCATGTACAGGCGGATTAAAGCCCTCCACACACTATCGAACATGCTGCCGGACCTGACCTGACGACGGACCCATCATCCAACCTGACAATGTCGTGTGTTTCCCACACACTGTCGAGCATGTTACCAAACAAGTCAAGTATAGTATCAGTTTTGAGATGGATTTTGAGACTACTGTATAGGTTTGTGCTGGATTTTGTGTTTGAAATGTTAAAAGAAGAAAAATAGGCGGTGTTGGTCAAATGAGTGGCTGTTAGAGCGAAACTAGTTTAGCCTCATGACTAAAGCGCTCCTGGATGTACTCGCCATCAATGAGCCACAAGACTTTAAAAACGCTTTTCCTAAAGAGGATATTGTACCCCTCTTGTGACTTGTGATGTTTATATTGTATGTACGCACATGTTTGTTACAATACAGTTTACTTTTGACATCCCAGTACAGCTTTAGATCTCTATACAGTTCAATGAACTCTGACCAGAATTGTTTATTATCATTAAATGACATTATGGAAAACAAGTGTTCACAAGTACTTTGGGGCAATAACTTCACAACACAACTCACTCATACAAATACAAGTCACTACTAAAAACTGTGGTTAGTCGGGCGATCGACTTGATGGTTTCCCACACACGCTCCAACATATCAGGCGAACGGCTCTAGTTGGGTGGTTCTAAAAAAACGTCGCACTAAAACTACAGTGGCCTTTTTCCATTTTTAAGTTGGAGTTTATATACTTACTTCCTTTGCTTTCTTAACCACCTAATATGGGCATACATTAACAAAATCGGTTCAAAAGCCTTTCTACCTTTAAAAAAAATCATTTTGATTACTTATGGATGGTTTACCTAGCATTTTATGTTCAAAAGTGATTGAGTTTACCAAAGACTTGATACTGACACAGTATATCCCGTATATACATTTGAAATAAAGTGTTTCCAGCTTCTGGGGATCAAAAACAAACAGTGGTGCCAGACCTGGATCTAGAAAAGATAACCAGGTGTAGACGTGTAAACTATTTTCCTAGCTATAGAGACCTGACATCAAGATTTAAATATATTTTTAGCTATTCAATGAAAATAAGTAAAATATAACTGCTGTGTTTCGAGACGATTCAATTCGAATCATTAAAATAAAAGAAGGTAGACATAATTACGTTAAACTTGAGCATTTCATCAGCGTTTAACTCATTTGTTGACAGTCCAACCGTCGCTGGGACATTCCGAGGAAGGTCCAATTCTCTGAGAGTGGTAGACGACATTCTGCTCAGAAGAAGCAACTCTTTACGCCAAGGTTTGGTGCAGACGACGCGGAAAAGCAGTCTGGAGGAAATCGGCATCGGACTTCACTACCCGGTGAGTGTTTTGTTATTATTTTCATTGTCTATGTCGATTTGATTATCGAAAATTTATTATGGACAAATGTTGGTTCATGATACTTTGGTTTGCTTCTTACTATTTTATAGTTTTTAGGAGCTTTTTTTGGAATTGTAAGTTCCCACTAGTTGCCAAGTACAACAACATTTATAAATATTTTTTATTGGTTTATTTTTTTTCCATATATTTTTTAGTGTTTCAAAGACAATAATATATTTCATTTTCATAATAGCCAATGGGGGTTTTAATAACAAATATGCCGTTGATGGATTTGAGTATTTAATAGACTTTATATGTTAATCATGTCATTTCTCACTGTCATTCTAATAACACTCTCACACAAACAAAATAATGTGCAAACAACATTTAACACTAAAAATTAGTTTTTTTAACAATAATTTTATGATTTGGTTCCTCATATTGAGTTCTCTTATAAACAAGTTAGCATGAAGCAAAAAAAGAAATTGATTCATGCTTGAAAAAAAAATTACCTGTAAGGTTAAGTGTGAAAAAAGGCCATGTGGCCCTAAATTTGATTGGATGTATAAAAAAAATTTCATTTCGTTTTTACAAATAAATTTTTGTTTTGAATATTTTCACTTGCATTTAATCAAATAGTAATAACCAGTGAGATAGGCAAAGTCAACACGAAAAAACCATTTAATCTACATTTAGACTAACCAACCGTCCAGTAAAACAAAAAAAGAGGATAGATGTCCCATCCTTTCTTAAACAGAATTTATTAAACTTTTTGTGAAAAGTAAAAAATTTTGTTTAGCAACAGTATGTTTTCAATCATCCTGTTCGACTTCATGTTCACATAATTTTTCAGAGACATCAACCATCCTTTTTTAATTCAACCAATACCTTGACTTTGGAGGTTCCATCTCTAGCCTCTCTCGATACTTGTACCCGAGTGATGCCCTCGAGTCGTTCGACCGGCCGGCTGATGGTAGGTCCGACCCTGGAACATGTAGCTGCAAAGTGGGAGTAGTCAGTGTTTGTTGTACGGATCCTTGAGTAATTCCCTTACCTGTTGATTAGATAAACCCCATTGGTGTTGTAGATATTAGGATGTTGCCTCAGAGAGTTATAGTAAAGGAAACACGTAGTTTGACCTTATATAGAACAAATGTATGATCTGTAAGTTTTGTAGGTACTTGTGATTTGGTATATTCAGGGCCGCTTTTATAAATTTGCCCAGAAACAAGATTCAAGTTTCTTGGGGACAAAAACAAGGTGGACCTTCTAGGTGGAACAGGGGGAGAGGGACACAATCATCCCTCAGGCCCATAGTGCATCACATGCAAGCCGGGGGACTGGGTATATTGTTCCTTAATTCCAGTAAACGCTCAGCAATCGCTCTTACTTCTCAATTTGGATCTGTAGTTCAATCCACTACTGTGCCACCACGCTGCCACGTACCACTAGTACCACAAGAAAAATCCTGACATTTTCAGTTCTCCGACTAAAAATAAGCACTCAAGTGTGTATTTAGTCAAACTTTAGGAGTTTCTGAGATTTTTTTATCTGTTGTATATAAACGTACAGTAGTTATGATATTAGGAAATTCAAGGTAACTTAAAGTTTTACAATTGTTTTCTGATGCAATGTTTTCTAAAGTTTGACTCTTGTTCCATGGTCCATTTTCTATTCCAAGAGCACTCGGTTATTCTAAAATAATTCCATAAGTGTTGTATGTATTGTATGTCTTATCCAGCCAGATGATTCAAGTTTTATAGCTATTGATTTAGTACAATGTACTTGCATTCGTCTGTTCCAAAGATGTATAAAAAATTAGCATAAGGAGAAATTGCCGTCACAACGCTAAATCCAAGGTGCTAAACCATTGAAGATCATCTTGCCTTCCATGAAGACATAGCAATCAATCATTTAATGGGAACTGGGAACACCTAAGCTAGGTCCAGTTTTGAACCATCAAAAAGCTACTGATGTACTCAGAATCGAACCAGCGACCTTTTGATTGTTAGGCGAGCACTTAACACTCAGCTACCCAGCCAGTTAGATTCAGGGTGGAAAAAAACCTAAAAAAGTCCAACAGGAAGATCTGACGAAGCAGGTCAACCAGTGTAAATAAATTTAACTAAAATGAAACCATAGTTAAAAATACAATGTACAATGTATAATTTGTAAATATAATACCTGTAAAGCTTAAATGTCTTGTTAAATAATAAGTGTTGTTAGAATAGAAGTTTTATCATCTTCAGGTAGCGATTGTGTGTGTTGAAAATGGATTGAATGTATGAATTGTGATGTATGTTTAGTGACATGAGATCTTTCCAAAAAAAGACGACTTGTCAATATGGTTTACATATGTAATATTTTTGTAATGGATGAAATTCAATTGGTAATCAATTGAGTTGTATCTACCTACCATATTTTGTTGTATTGGTTCTGAGTGGTACTTTTCATAAATTGTAATCCTAAACGATTTGCAGGGTAAACTCCTCAGAATTAGGGGTTGTCTCTGTTTAGTTAACATTAAAATTTCCCCGCTGCAGCAAACCTGCAGACTAAGCGAATTTCCATTTTCCTGACTGGATTTATACTAAAATATTCTCTTACACTTTACACTATAACAGATTTATTTCCTGTTTAAATAACATACCTGGGGACCGAGCTTTGCTCGGGGAAAATCTTTAGTTTACTGTGAAAGCAGTCTTAGTATTGCAGATATATAAATCCCAAACTCCAAACTGCTCGCCTTTACTACTTCCTTCACTACTTCCTATGAAGCGGACCTGTTTTCCTCCCTACCCATTGCATTTAAAGATCGCAGATACCTTAATCCAATCGTCATAAACAGTTCCCACACTCCGGACAGCTCGGCTTGACTACTTCCTTCACCACTTCCTACGTCGTGAGCCTGTTTTCCTCCCTCCCCATAGCATTTTAGGATTCCAGATACCTTAATCTAATCGTCACAAACAGTTCCCACACTCCGGAGAGATCGCCTTGACTACTTCCTTCACCACTTCCTACGTCACAGACCTGTTTCCCTCCCTTCCCATAGCATTTTAGGATTGGAAATACCTTAATCTAATCGTCATAAACAGTTCCCACACTCGGGCCAGCTCGCCTTGACTGCTTCCTTCACCACTTCCTACGTCGCGGACCTGTTTTCTTCCCTCCCCATAGCATTTTAGAATTTCAGATACCTTAATCTAATCGTCATATTATCTAATCGTCATATATATCATGGGGAGCGAGCTGGTGTAGTGGTTAGAGCGCGGGACTTCAGTCCCTGAGGTCCCGGGTTCGATCCCCGCCAAGTCACCAATGGATTTTATCTAAGTGATAATGCCGCAACCCCTAGGTCTAGCCTGAAGTAATGTGAAAAACAATCCCAGGCTCGTGCCTAGCGTCCTAGGACAAAAAAAAAAATCTAATCGTCATAAACAGTTCTCACACTCGGAATTCTCGCCTTGACTACTTCCTTCAACACTTCCTACTTCGCGGACCTGTTTTCCTCCCTTCCCATAGCATTTTAGGATTTGAAATACCTTCTAATCGTCACAAACAGTTCCCACACTCCGGACTACTCGCCTTGACTACTTCCATCACAACTTCCTACGTCGCGGACCTGTTTCCCTCCCTTCCCATAGCATTTTAGGATTGCCAATACCCTTATCTAATCGTCACAAACAGTTCCCACACTCCGGACAGCTCGGCTTGACTACTTCCTTCACCACTTCCTACGTCGCGGACCTATTTCCCTCCCTTCCCATAGCATTTTAGGATTGCAGATACCCTAATCTTATCGTCATAAACAGTTCCCACACTCCGGACAACTTGCCTTTACCACTTCCTTCATCACTTCTTACGTGACGGACCTGTTTCCCTCTCTTCCCATAGCATTTTATGATTGCAAATACCTTAATCTAATCATCATAAACAGTTCCCACACTCCGGAGAGCTCGCCTTTACTACTTCCTTCACCACTTCCTATGTTGCGGACCTGTTTCCTTCCCTTCCCATAACATTTTAGGATTCCAGATACCTTAATCTAATCGTCATAAACAGTTCCCACACTCCGGACTACTCGCCTTGACTACTTCCTTCACCTCTTCCTACGTCGTGGACGTGTTTTCCTCCCTTCCCATAGCATTTTAGGATAGCAAATACCATAATCTAATCGTCATAAACAGTTCCCACACTCCGGACAGCTCGCCTTGACTTCTTCCTTCATCACTTCCTACGTCGCAGACCTGTTTCCTTCCCTTTCTTTAGCATTTTAGGATTGCAGATAACCTTAATCTAATCGTCATAAACAGATCCCACAGTTTGTACTGCTTGCCTTTACTAGCCTACAATGTATCGAGCAATCTTCAGTATAATCTTTGCTCAATAGTAACAAGTGATGCTTTCCCATTTGTACTGTATTTGTAATTTGCTAGTTTACTGTGGGTAGTTGCCTTATTATGAACACATGCTACAACTTCAAGTCTTTTGTTTACTTTTTCCTTGTTATTTAATTCAACCTAAATGGTTACTAAGCAACCCATAAGACTAATGTTAAAAAAATGTGACTTTCAGTTTCCTTTTTCTACGTAATTAGATGTTTGTTGGCAGTTCTAACTGCATGAAACTCGTTTTTAGGCCAAAAATAAACTATTTACAAGATTTGAAGAAAATCGTCAGGGCCGTTTTCGAGATCTTTCTGCAAGCAAGCAAGCAAGCAAGCATACATACAAGCAAACATTGCTCGTATTAGAGCAAGCAAGCAAGCAAGCAAGCAAGCAAGCATACATACAAGCAAACATTGCTCGTATTAGAGTATAGGATTAATTTTAATGTGTACCTACTTAAGTTTGCTGCTACAGAAAGGATTGAGGTGCTTTTTTTATTGAAATTTTGATTGCTTAGTATGAAATCAACAAAATTGCCTAATTAAGAGCTAATTGAGAGCATTAATCTCTCAGAAGCTGTTGATGCAACGATGACTATTATTCTTTACAGATTTGTCTTTACAGATGCAGCCTATTCAGCCGGCGGCCATGCCATCTCAGATGTCTACGGAGAGTGCTGGTATCAAGATAGCACTGAACGGAAGCATTGGATTAGAAGTGACACCTCCGGAAGAGAACAGCTCCCCCTCGATATCCAGCAACACGGGTCTACTAATCTCTCCTCCACACCAGGTAGAGTAGGCCCTCTGCTATTGAGAAGCGTTTTGCTACAGATTACGCGATTTGCTAATGAGAAAGCTCTAATGAAAAGAGGTTGTTTGTTATCAAAGAATCATTTTCTTATTATTGTTAACTAGCTGTACCCACGGGCTTTGCCCCGTTTAACTTCATAAGTATTCGCATGGCTCAATCACGTCCCTGTTGAAGTTCGTTCGCTACGCTCACTCACCTTTAGGTTGCAAATTAGCTGTTGTCATAAATTTTAAAAAGTCATCCCTTTTATTGTTTATAATACTTTGATAAAGGTTTTTATGTTTTAATGTTTAACATTGGAGAATTTAAACGTTGCTAAGTGCACAGGTGTGCTGCGATTGGGGTTTAATACATTTGGACTTATTCAAAAGTAAAATAGTTTTCTGTGCTGCACTCTGTAGAAACACTGTGGCACTATTTCAAATCATGACTAATGCTAATACAGAATGTTGTAATTATTCAAACCTACAAAACAGTTGGTGAAAGTAAACATCTGCTTTTAAATTATATGTATTTTTTAACATTAGGTAAATGGAAAGTTCCCTTTAGAAAGGAATTACGACCTAAGGGCAATTTATGAAATAATGGATAATTTTGCGCAAGGATTCTCGTCATGACGAACATTTTAAGTATATGGTTTATGGGGGTGTGACTTGTAGTTTTCTCAAAAGTTCATGGGTACTTTTGCCTTTATATATAGATTATTATTGAACAATTTAATAGCATGACCATGAATAAGTCACTTCATCCCAATTTTGAGATAGAAAGGTGACTACACCATTAATATATTTAGAAAATATACCTATATGTATGAATTACAATAGTCTAATAGCATAGACAAAGAGAATGAATATAGACCGTCAGCTGTGCTACGGTTAGCATAAGTTCTGGCGTCCACCGCTAGGTTTGCCGTGTAGTTACGGCGCACACCGCTGCAGTGTCTGCTGGTCACATACGGCTCTTGCGCTCCTCGCCTGCAGCGGTGTGCGCGTAACTACAAAGCACTCCAAGGGGTGGGCGCCGGAACCTTCCTTTGACAGTCTATATTTATTCTATTTGTCTATGCTAATAGTCAGTTGAGATTTTTTTTAGATTTCAAAGTAACTAGGGCTAAGTAACTAAATAGTGTAGTCTATACTACGAAGTCCAGGGGTTACAAAATGGAATTTAATAACTATAAAGCCTGCCAATGTAACTAGGGTATTACGTAGCCAGTGTATGCAGAATCATTAATTTAAAAGCTGTCATTAATTTAACTGGTACTGGTAATGATGATGATGTCAATAATCATTAAAAAGCTACAGATTCTCTTACATTAAATCGCCACTTTTACAAAAAGTAAGTAGGCACTATAACTTGGCCACCAGCTTTATTATATAGTTATACTACACAACTTTATTTATTATCTTTTCAATTTGAAAAGATTTCAGAGAGATAGTAGAGCCAGAAGTAAGCTTACAAATCTCAAGCTAATACAATTTAATCTTTGTAAATTTCACCATCCAAAAATTATTTATTTCTAAAAGAGTTAAGTCAAATATATCTATTGAAATTTTAAAATCATGAGAATTACTGCGTTTTTGCAGATGCCGAGTCCCGCTGCCTCTACAGAACACCTACAGGGAACCATCGTATGATATCATCTCATGTGGGGCAGGAGGCTCAGCAGTGTAGTGCGCAACAAATGGCTCTAACTCACTCCTCGCTCCACCACACCACCTCAACACGACACCACATTCAGGTAGTAAACTGCCTCTAACTCACTCCTCTCTCCACCACACCACCTCAACACGACACCACATTCAGGTAATAAACTGCCTCTAACTCACTCCTCGCTCCACCACACCACCTCAACACGACACCACATTCAGGTAGTAAACTGCCTCTAACTCACTCCTCTCTCCACCACACCACCTCAACACGACACCACATTCAGGTAGTAAACTGCCTCTAACTCACTCCTCTCTCCACCACACCACCTCAACACGACACCACATTCAGGTAATAAACTGCCTCTAACTCACTCCTCGCTCCACCACACCACCTCAACACGACACCACATTCAGGTAATAAACTGCCTCTAACTCACTCCTCGCTCCACCACACCACCTCAACACGACACCACATTCAGGTAATAAACTGCCTCTAACTCACTCCTCTCTCCACCACACCACCTCAACACGACACCACATTCAGGTAATAAACTGCCTCTAACTCACTCCTCGCTCCACCACACCACCTCAACACGACACCACATTCAGGTAATAAACTGCCTCTAACTCACTCCTCTCTCCACCACACCACCTCAACACGACACCACATTCAGGTAATAAACTGCCTCTAACTCACTCCTCTCTCCACCACACCACCTCAACACGACACCACATTCAGGTAATAAACTGCCTCTAACTCACTCCTCGCTCCACCACACCACCTCAACACGACACCACATTCAGGTAATAAACTGCCTCTAACTCACTCCTCGCTCCACCACACCACCTCAACACGACACCACATTCAGGTAATAAACTGCCTCTAACTCACTCCTCTCTCCACCACACCACCTCAACACGACACCACATTCAGGTAATAAACTGCCTCTAACTCACTCCTCTCTCCACCACACCACCTCAACACGACACCACATTCAGGTAATAAACTGCCTCTAACTCACTCCTCTCTCCACCATACCACCTCAACACGACACCACATTCAGGTAATAAACTGCCTCTAACTCACTCCTCGCTCCACCACACCACCTCAACACGACACCACATTCAGGTAATAAACTGCCTCTAACTCACTCCTCGCTCCACTACACCACCTCAACACGACACCACATTCAGGTAATAAACTGCCTCTAACTCACTCCTCGCTCCACCAACACCACCTCAACACGACACCACATTCAGGTAATAAACTGCCTCTAACTCACTCCTCGCTCCACCAACACCACATCAACACGACACCACATTCAGGTAATAAACTGCCTCTAACTCACTCCTCGCTCCACCAACACCACCTCAACACGACACCACATTCAGGTAATAAACTGCCCCTAACTCACTACTCGCTCCACCACACCAACTCAAAACAACACCACTTTCGGTAATAAACTCTAGATCACAAGAGAATGATATAGTCAAGTTACTAGAACTCACTATTCAATCACACCATCTGTAGATTTCATAATATGGTATAAACACTTTTTTTAAATAACTTCTTGATCAGCAATTTTAGCAACAAACTTAAGTACCTTATCGACACAAATAAAATTGTTCCCAATTCATTATTTATTATTTACCCCAATTCACTTTTGTAATCTAACATTTATGGTTCCAGGTTTGAAATCTACTAGACAAGGCACGCAGGAAACAAAGTAACCAAGGGAACAAATAGAATCGGACTGTAGATACCTCAGTAGCGTAGTACCACTCTACACTCCGCACATTACCCGTCTGCGATAAACTCGTCTTGTACATTCACATAACTATGATGCTCAATCAGCTGATCTATAAACTCAAGGAACATTTTGATTTGTACTTCATTTTTGTTTCTCGATGTAATTGGTTGATCTTTAATTGTAGATAGTAATATCATAGACTAATCAACACAAGTAGACTCCTCATCCCATTGTACATTTTGAAGCTTGTTTTTTGTGTCTAGTTCATGTACGTCCACACAGATCGCTAGTGTAGAAAAAATTTTGTTTCTATTATTTAAGGGTTATTTTCATGATTTGTGCTTTACTATTTGGTTATATGACTAGAAGACCAGTTATTGTTTATGATTATGCAGTTTTATTTGGTTAAATTATGTTTTAAATGACTGAAATATCAAGAAATAAATTGTAAACAAAACATAACCTCTACAGTTGGACGTACAGAACTAACAATAAAATTGGCTTCAGCTGTTCCATAAGGATGACAAATCTACTAAGGGAGTATGTTTTATCTATGGTAATATTATAGATTTGTCTACTTAAGTAGCTTTTATGTTTAAATTTTTGTTAACATTTTTTGAGGTTATGTGAAATTTTTATCAATTTTATAGGATTTTGATTGTTAAATTTCAATGTATTTTCAATTTATCACAAATGTTTGTGGAATGTACACCAATACATTTTTTAGTGGTTTAAAAGTTCACCAAAAATAAATACTACAATATTCTGTAACAATACTGAATTTATGAAAATTTAATATCAATCGAGCTAGATGCTAGTAAAAATTGTTGAGTTGTGGGTTGTTGATAATTGGATGTAACAATATGTCACAAACTGTCAAGTTGTATACAAATTAATTTATATAATTTATTTTTCTAGTTTATTTCATGGTGTTAACCTCATTCATGACCTGTTGTATGTTGTGTTAGATCTATGATGTCTATAAAGACAATAAGACTATGTTGTGTTTTTCTATCTAAAAGTATATTGTAAATGTTAAATTTTATAAATTATAGAAAATGTTTCCAAAGTGGGTAGACGCTATTGTTTGTGATTATTGTTGTCTAGTTTATATCTGTCCTGTATTTGTGATTTTTATTATTTAACAAGCTGGTTAGCGTTCCAATGATAAAGCGTAAAATGTTGTGTGTAGTTAGTTATTAATTGGTCTGAATAACAGAAAAACAATTAGTTGTAAAATATTATTTATTCTTGATTTGGTTCTTAAACTTTCATTATTTTTGTTTATTTCCATCAAAAATTTAATGAATCTCTTTCTTTACTGTATATTCTTTTTTGGCAATATAGCTATTACGCTTAAATTATGAAGTTACCATTAATATCGAGTTTATAACTATGTGTTATCAGATTTTATAAACCGTTATTATTTTCTCATTTAGTCATATATTGTTTATATTATCAAGTTTATCATTCCTATTAAATTTTACATTTTTTAAGCTTTTTGTTTGAAGTTACAGGTATTTCAATTTGTGTATAGAATACTAAGCATATTTTTAAAGGTACAGTACATAGTTTAAGTTTGTGAACAAGTTTTTTTTACATAGCAGGAGTTTACATTTTGGTTTGTTTTCTTAGCAGATTGTTCTTAGAACTACTTATCCGCTCGGTTTTAGACAAAGCTACCTTCTTTAATAATTTAGCTTAACCTAAAACAAACTATGCAACATAATATCATTTATTTGATCAGAAATTACTCGTTTTAATGCTATTCAATAGTCTGTTTTGAAGAACCTATAATTTATTTTACGTATTGAGCATTGACTATTAACATACTTGAATTTGGGAAGCTCTTTTGGTGCTAGACATTATCAAATTGTGTGAATAGTGTGGAAAAGTGTATTAACTGTAATTGTTTTGTTAAATCAAGAGAATAAACTATAGCACCTTCTATAAAGTTCTTTATATCGATTCAGAGAAAGCCTTACCCCACGAGTGATAAGACATTGTTTTCATAGTGGGTGCTATTCACTAGTTTTGCATACATGTACGTTTAATTCACTTTTAACTCATAAACTTTTTACTGCACATCAGAATGAATATAAGATTCTTTCAATAATTAAAAATATTTCTTTGTAGTTGTTAACATTAGTCGTAACTCATTACAGATAGTATTTAAACTTTAATACATATTTTTAATTACGTCGAGTGAATTTTTATTATCTTGTAGATATTTTATCAATGCTAGATGCAGGCTTAGAGAATTGATCTGTATAGTCGTATAATTTTAGCAAAGATAAGTTAAGATTTTCATATAAAGTAAATAATTCATCTAGGAGTTTTATAGTTGGTAAGAAATTTGCATTGTGTGATAATCAACATTTAAATAACTATGCTGTAAAAATTTAAATTATTTTAAGATTTTATATGATTAAGGATCTCTAAATGGTTGTTAAAGCGGCTGAATACTCATGCTAAATTCTACGTTTATTATTAGGCTTAAGAATTTTTAAGTTTTGTACAAAATCATGAAGACCTCAAAACAATATGATGTACAAATTTCACCAAACTTGAATTTAAATGGTACCTACATACAGTTTTGTATCAATTACAGAAATAAAAACTTTTTTCCAGGTAAATTTATTAACAAAACTTATAAGATTACTTGTATCACATTAAATCACTTTTTTTTAACTTATGTTGATTAGTTTCAATTCTGAAATAGTTGTCAATCTGAACACTTGACAAAATTATAAAAGGACATTTTACAGTAAAATCATACAAGAAATTCTCAGTAAATTCTATTTATAGTTAAGTCTTAAGAAAGCCCTCCATTTTCATGTTCTGCAAATTAGCTGAAAGGTAGTTTCAAATTTAACTAGGGAAACATCTTGTTTTTGAAAAGCTGGTGATTTGTAAGGTTTACACGCTGTAATTTACTGTTAAAATACAGTATTTGTGTTCATGTAATTTTTTTATCTCTTGGCTTCTTTAATACTGTATGTTAATCGAATGTTAACGAAAATATTTCATGAGCATTCAGCCATTGTCAGAATATAAATGTAGAATTGTTCGTGCTGTCTTTTCCGTTTGACTGTCTTGTATTCGCAGAAGGCTAGAGGTGTGTTTATTTTGTTATTTTATCGAGGCAACAATGACTCAGTAATTGGTAAAGGCTTTATATATATAAAATATTGGGAAGTTGCTGTTTAGGTGTTTTGTTCTCTGATCACCGAATATTTCACTCATCACTGTTGAATCTTTTTAAGAGAGTCTTTTCGAAATGATTGTACATGTACATAGTCATCACAGATGTAAAATTCACAATTTTTGTGCACCAGAGTAACATTTTCTAGCTATATTTGAAACCGTCTATTTTATTCACAGATTAAATTGTGTCAGCATGTCGATGCTGAAATACTTTTAACCTTGTACGTTCTAACACCATAGTTTATCATAGTCGTTTACACTAAGTATGTGTACAAATGAATTATTGTAGAGAGGGTCCTGTATACTGTATAGGATGGTAAAGTAAATATTTTTGTACTCATCTATTGTATAATTTGACTTGGCTGTGACTAACAAAAATGGAAACTTATAACTTAGCATACATAACCATATCCTATTTCTACTAATGAAATGTAGTCTTACATTTGCTGGCCTTTTATCCAAAATTTATTAGTTTAAGGACATAAATGTGCCATCTTGGGCTAAAGAAATGTCGTGACTGCTGTTAAAAAAATATCCGCTACAGTTTTGATTTCTATTATGGTTGCTGCTGATATGTGATTGTTTGTGTAAGGAGGTTTTTTTCATTAATTATTAATTTTACATTTAGGTTATTTTATTTTCTATTTGATATTGTGAATCTATTATTATGATTATAATGATACTTTGATTCTGACAAACAAAAATGTTGTCTAATATTCTACATTTATCTTTTGTCCTATTTTTAAACTTGTAAACACTATGTTGATTCCTAAGTTGCTTGGCTCAGATTTTATTATTTTCCAAAATTTAAAAATTTTCAAGTTGTTTAATCATATTATGTTTAGAAGCCCAATTTTATTTTATTTGGCTGATATTAAAAATTAAAAGTAAACAAACAAGATGACAAATATATACAGTTAACTGATCAACTATTTTACTCTAGTGCCTATGATACATAAATGTAATTCAGGTTAGAAAACAAAAACTAAAAATCTAATACTTTTAAAAACTTATTAATTGGATATGACTATAAATTACTCATAATAATAATATTTATTACTTTTTACTTATAGAATGTTTATGAGACCAAATAATAAAATCCAAGAGAGTGTATGCCCTTTGTTTCAACTGTGAAGTTAATTTATGACACAATCATTGAACTTACTTCTAAGTTATCTGTATCTAAAATAAATTATGTTTATAACAAGTAGGCCTATATGTTTAAAAGTTTTTTTACAAACAAAAAAAAGATACACGTCTGTGACGTTATATCAGGTGATTTTAATAAATACACCACATACATTGCAAGTGTGTTGAGGGGCATTGGCTACCGCGACTATGCCATACCCGTGTATCTTACCACTACTCCAGTATGTCCTGGTATCTCGGTCTGTGCAGCCTGTGGTATTAACTAATTAAATATGTAGTTTTTATTTTCACTAGTCCCGTCTCCTGTCAAATTAAACATTACAGTGGTGACGTTACAGTATAGCACGTCTCTTCTTAATTAATTGTTTTCCATAAAATAAACTTTGAGGATTTTGAATTTCAAATTGCAGATTGAGAACTACTTAATACCTATTTAATGGATAAGTAAAGAAAAGCTGATTCCATTGATGCTGGCTAATAAATCTCACATGGATAAATTAAACACAAGAACCCCTTATTAAAAGCCCTTCTACTTCTAGTGTCTTAAGCAGAATTAATTGACAATGAACCAATGACAACTTTTTCAATTGAGTTTGAAACAGTGTCATAAAAATTACAGTTAAATACTTACCCTTCGATTGAAATTATTTGCTTCTAAAATTTGAATATGTACAAGTTTTGCATGTAGTGAAATAACAGAAAATCTGAGACATTTTTAAGGCCAGCAAATTTGTGAAATATCACCTAAGACATTTTAATTATGTAATTAAGTATTATAAATAAATATAACTATATTGATAATTTAAGAATAGATTTATTTAATTGCATTGTAAATTGTGTATTTATATAATATTCGCATAGGTGCCTCTCGTATTGCTTGCTATGTGCTATGACCAAGAATTCATAAATCCATTAGAGGAATTTTGTAAATATTTTGTGTATTCTGTGCATTTTTTTTATCTGTCCAATGAGGTAGGCGATGTTTTTGATTTGAATATTTATCATTTTTTTGCAAATAAAATATTCTACCATCTTTACTTTGTTGGTGTTTGTTTCAATTAATTATTCATCCCCCTCTTTTGATCCAATGTGTAACATACAGGTTACTGTGTAAGTTTCTTGCGGTGTAAAAATTGGATGACATTTGTGTTGTGTTACCATAGACAAATAGAATTAAATATATAGACCGACAGCAGTCTTATGGTTAGGATAAGTTCTGGCGTCCACCGCTAGGAGCGTCATGTAGTTACGTATTGTGTGCACCTTAACTAAACGGCTCTCCCAGCGGTGGACGCCAGAACTTATGCTAACCGCAGCACTGCTGTTAGTCTATATTTAATTCTATTTGTCTATGGTGAACCATATCATACCCCGCCACAGCAAACCTGCAGACTAAGCGAATTTCCATTTACCTGGCTGGATTTCTACTCAAATATTCCCTGAAAATTCTCAAATTTATTTCCTATTTAAATAACATTAATTTTAATGAGTTCCTAGGTTTGTTGCTACAAGAGAGTTATTGAGGTGTGTTTTTGATTGCTTAGCTTAGTATGAAATAAACAAAATTGCCAAATTTGATTAAAATATGTCCATAAACAAGCAAACTACAACAGTTTATTAATGCTCCATAAAAATAGCATGGGAATTTTAAATCTAAAGTTTTTTTTTATTACCTCCTTAACCGTTAGACATACAAAAACGCCTCAATCAATTTACAAAATTATGTACTTTTAAGCTCTACAAATTGGTCTGAAAAGAAATTGTAAAATTTTATGATTTTAGTGTCAAAAATGGGAAAAACCAATTTTTACCCGATAAAACCCCCCATAAACCCCTGTTCCCATAGTCCAATCATGCTGATTCGCAAACTCGAATGCGATGCTATGCTAGGTGGCTATCCACCTACCCATTAAAATGATTATTTGCCGTAAAATAAATATTTAACTATATACTTATTTAGCTTTACGACAAGTAAGAATATTTTTATTTATGTTCAAAGGTTTTCATCCAAATGTTATTTTCTTTTGGTCTGTATGTAGTAACTTGCTAGTAAAGTTATACCTTTGACTATTAATACTAGGAAACTAATCAAGTGTATTTTTTATTAAAATAATAGTATAAAATAAATAAATTTGCCAAGTTTGATCCAAATATATCCATAACAGGCAAACTACAACATTTTAAAATGGGAATTATATATTTTTTTTAATTTTCTCTGTTACCAATAACTGTATAAAAACACTTTGATATACTAAATTATATGTTTTCGTAAGCTCTTTAAAAAGGTCTAAAGAGAAATTGGGAAATTTTGTGTTTTGACAAAACCCTGTTCCCATGGTCTGATCATGCTGGTTCACGAACTCATTCAAGTTTATCCCGCCTTACACCTTTAAACCAAATTTCATCAAAATCAGACAAAAATTACTCAAGTTATATCGTTTACGGACGTATATATATATATTTATACAGGGTGCTTTAGAATTGGTGTCGGATATTATTCCTGGGTAAGAAACATATCTAAATATCATATTTAAATTGTCCGGAAGTCCTTGGTTACTCACAAAGCCGCCATTGTGTGTTTTTTTACTCATTAACTGTTTTCTAAATAGTGGTAAAAGATACGAAATTGAAACTTTTCACAAACATTTATGGCAACTATATAAAGCTACAATAAAATTATGACAATTTTTAAAAACCATAGAACAAAATGGTGGCTATTTAAAATTTTGTTTCTTAAATAACTTTTAAATCAGATTTCAAATATGGAGGCCATTTCATTTTTTTTTTAAACTTAACTTACAAAAAAAATTGCTGATTTTATTAAAAAATTCCAAAAACACTTTTATTTTGTACTTTTATTCCCTACTATACGTCTCGCCACCCTATATATAAGTTGTATATTGTAATATTATAAGTTGAGGCAGCCAAAACTGAACGGGAGGCTCATTACCGGCTGGTCCCGCACGACCCTTTTATAATCCGATTAGCGTCACTTCCGTGAACGCTAAAACGTCCATGTTTTAGCAAATTTCCCATCAAGTGCAAGGCGAAATAAAAAAAACGGGGTTTTTAGGGGACAGCTCTGAAATTTTAAATTTAAAGTCCAATCAAGTGGCCCCTCATTTAAAAAGTCATCAGTTACAAAATAATCTATCAGCAAAACCAGTGGTCCATTTCTCATGCAACCAAATACAAAACGGTGGCAACTTTTTTTTCATAGTTCTGAGAGACCATACATCAATATCATCCCAATTAACATATTTTATCGGGCTGTACTATAGGAAATGTAACTCATCATTATCATCTTCATA